AAAGACCACATCCTTCAGTATGGATTGCACCTCAATGTAAAGAAAACAAAAATCCTCACCACTGTACCAATAAACAACATTCTTATCAACAGAGAAAACATTGAAGTTGTCAAGGACTTCATTCTTCTTGGATCAACTATCAACACTCATGGAAGCAGCAGTCAAGAAATCAAAGGGCGTATTGTATTAGGCAAATCTGCTGCACAAGACCTTTTTAAAGTGTTGAAGAGAAAAGGTGTCAGCTTCAAGACTAAGGTGCGCCTGCCCCAAGCCATGGTATTGTCAATAACCTCATATGCATGTGAAAGCTGGACAGTGAATAAGGAAGGCTGTAGAAAATTTGATGCTTTTGAGTTATGTTGTTGGAGGAGAATATTGAGGGTGCCATGGGCTGCCAACAGGACCAACAGATCTGTATTGGAAGAAGTGCAGCCAGAGTGCTCCTTGGATGCCAGGATGGCCAAACTTCATCTCTCGTACTTTGGACATAATGTCAGGAGTGACCAGTCGCTGGAGAAGGATATCATGTTTGGTAAGGTGTAGGGTCAGAGAAAAAGAAGAAGAACCCCATCGAGTTGGATTGGCAAAGTGACAGCATCAATGGGCTCAAGTGTGGCAACAGATGTGAGGTTGGCCCAGGACCAACCAGTGTTTCGTTGTGTTGTCTGTAGGGTCTCCATGAGTTGGTACTGACTTGATGATACCTAACAACAACAACATCAACAACAATAACAGTGTGGAAGAAAGTAATGTATACCTAAGTATAATAGATAATAGTTAGTTACTGAATGAATTATTGAAATGACCAAATGTTGTCCACTACCTCCAAACACTGGATGTAACATCCTTAATCGGAATTTTGAAATCCATGTTGATTTACATGTCTTGTTTTTAGGTTCCTTTGAGTTGTTTCCAACTCATAGCAACCTTATACACTAAAAAGCGAAACACTGTTCAGTCCTGCACTATCTTTACAATCATTGTTACACTTGAGCCCATTGTTACACATCTCACACACAGAGACAAAAACACCATTAAAAATCAAAGGAAAAAATATACAAAGTTAATTGCAATAAAAAACGAACAAGAGTGGCAGTACTAATCTCTGATAAAATAAACTTTAAGGCAAATACCAGCATAATAGACAAAGGGACAATCATACAAGATTACATAACCATAATAAATACCTATGCTCCCAATGAAAGAGGTCCAAAATATATAAAGCAAATGCTAATAGATTTGAATAAAGAAATAGTCAGATCTATAATAGTAGTGCATGATTTTTATACACCACTTTCAAAAATGGATAGGGTTTCTGCAGAGCAGCTGGTGAGCTTGAACCGCCGACCTTGCAATACAAACTGACTTTGCAGTCCAGCGCATTAACATACAGTGCCATATCAGGATACACATATATAAATATATAGACAAATTTGTCCATAAAATTAACATGTATGTGCATATATAAATGTATATGTGTATATGTAAATAAAATGCACCCAAAACTTTTTGTGACTAATTTTTTTAACATAGGTTACCATGTGGAAGCAATTTGTATCCCTTAAAAACCACATAAACAATCAGATTGCTTTTGTTCCTGGGCAGTCCCAGGGAGAGAAGGGAAAATTTTTCTACTTGCTATGACATGAAGTACTTCCTGGGAAATTCAAACATGTAACTAGAAGCAGATTGACTGCCTCCTCTTCACAGGACTCTCAGACTGCAGCTGAACTACCATTGGCATATCTGTGTGTAGCACATTACCTAGGTAGCTATGTGCAGGCTTCTCCTCCACAACTTTGATTCTTCGTGCTCCAGCCGGTATCACTAGCACTTCTACATAGCCTGTAAGAATCAATGAAAGATGCAATAAATACTGAGTTAGCCAAAACAGTTTTTTTTATTGACTTGCCTTTTAAATCTTTTCATCTGGTTTTAGTTGTTGCTCTGCTATTTGTCTACCTATAAAGGAGAAATGTTATGTATAAAAATCTGTCATGCTTCCAAGGGTAGTAATTTCTTGGAAAAATGCTGAGCCTAGAGCACTACCAAGGACAAGTAGGCAATTACGTTTTCAATGTAAGTAGTTCACTGATACTTTAAGAACTGGGAAAAGGCACGATGGGATAGGCACGATGGGATAGCCGGTTAGAAACTGAGGGCAAATAATTTCTGATTCTGCGCTGTGAGCTCCTTGAATTTAGGAAGTGTGGCGAAGGAGGAAATGCAGTGGAGAGAATGCAGTGGGCCTAGATACTCTCCACTGGAGTACTTGAGTTTGGGATAGGAGAGAATAACATCCCCTGAGGAGATTAACAAAGGGTTTTGAAACAGGAGTTGGAAACAGGTTAAGTGAAAGATTTCACACAGCAGTCCAGTGTCACCTTCAAAGTGTTAGGCAGCTGGAAGCATGACACAATTAGCTGTTTCTCAGGAAAGGTTTCTGAGCAGAAGTTAGGAATGTAGTATTTTAAGTAAAATAAGGTGATAAGATATAGTGATAGAAGAGAGTATCTGTAGAAAGATGTTAGAATCAAGACTGCAATTAGTGCAGTCTAGTGACAGAATGAATGCCTACTTTTGACTCTATGTTATTGTTGTTGTTAAGTGCCTTCATGTCATTTCCAACTCATCGCAAGCTTTCCAAGGAGCAAATGGTGGGGTTGAACCATCAAACCTGGTGGTTAGCAGTCTAGGGCCTATCCTACAGAGCCACACCAGGAATCAATGTTATTGTTAAGTGTCTTTGAGTTGGTTCTGACTCACAGTGACCCTGTATAGGATTTATAAGGAGCGTCTGTTGCACTTGAACTTCAGACCTTGAGGTTAGAAGTCTAGGTCTTAAAACGCTGCACCAGAACTCCACATGACTCAATTGTTACATTAAAAAAAAATCATGTTAAAGTAATTTGAATATTCTTCCTTCCATTTCTGGGCCAATCCGTATGATAAAGGTCTCTCGTTTTTTTTTTTTTCTCACTTGAGGCAACATAGCTAGTTCCAGGGTTTTCTCAAGGTTGTTTTTTTTAATTCCTGAAAATGTTTGCAGTTATTTGGTCTATACCAAAAGTAGCATATGCTTCCCCTGGTGGCAGTAAGTGGAATTAGAGGCATGTGCCTTTAGAATCATTTCCATATGGAACTCTGCTTATTCAATGTAGTCATTTTGAGTATACCAAACAGAAAAACACTATCACTTTGATACCTGACCAATATATACATCAAAGAAAACAAACAAATGTTTAGTGCCTATTTGTACACAGAAATAAGGTAAAATGGTCTCTGTTCTCACTAAGCTTATAATCTAATTAGAAAGACAAAGCTTAAATTTCTTACATATATACAAGTTACATAAAAATGGTAATTATATTAAAGATACAATATTTGAAATGATATGGTTGATTCTTGCTAAGGAATATAAGCCAGAATTGTTTAAATAATCCCTCTTCCCTGCTTTCTTCACCCTCCATAAGGTTCAACGCTATTCTTTCGTCACAGAAAAAATTTACTTATATACATTAGAGAAACACTGGCATCATCTTTAATCATTATAATTCAGAGGAGACAGCATTTCTTATTTCTTTTAGTCAAAAAAAAGTGTGGCAAATAATAAGGAGATGAACTGTCTGAAAAATGGATTGTGGTTGTTGTTAGGTGCCATGGAGTCGGTACCATCTCATAGTGAGCCTGTGAACAACAAAATGAATCACTGTTCGGTCATGCACCAACCTCACAATCATTGTTGCACTTGAGCATATTGCTGCTACCACTGCGCCATTCCATCTCATTGAGGGTCTTCCGCTATTTTGCTGGCCCTCCATGTTACCCAGCATAATGTCCTTCTCCAGGAACTAGTCTCTCCTGATAATATGTCCAAAGTATGAGAGACAAAGTCGGCCACTCTGGTTTCTAAGGAGCATTCTGGCTGTACTTCTTCCAAAAGAGATTTATTTGTTCTTTAGGCAATCCGTCATATTTTAAACATTCTCATCCAACACCCTAACTCAAGATAAATGGTGAAGAGTTTGAAGTTATCAAAGACTTCATTTTTCTTGGATCAACCATCAACTGTCATGGAAGCAGCAGTTAAGAAATCAAACGATGTGTTACATTTGGCAAATCTGCTGAACAAGACCTCTCTAAAGTGTTGAAGAGTAAAGATGTCAGGTTTAAGACTAAGATGCACCTGACCCAAGCCATGGTATTTTCAATAACCTCATATGCATGTGAAAGTTGAAAAATGGATAGTATTGGGATAGTTATAAAAAAATACAAGTTTACTGTATGTAAAATGCAGTAAGCAGTCTACGATGTTTTTATATAAAATTTTAAAAATTACTCTAACCGAATGAGAAGACATAAGAAAATGGTTGTATTGAGAGTTTAAATGCAGCTCAGGAGCCTGAATTTATCAGTTTGGAACTACTGAAACTTCTAGAGCATTGTAATTTGATAATTAGATCCTAGTTTAAAGAGTGTTTGTCTGACAGAAACGTGTAGAATAAACTTTAGGGATCTAGCTGTGGATAAGAGTGAACATGAAGCTAATGTATAAATCAAAGAGTGGTAGAGAATCGGAAAGAAAATCCAGTTAGCACTGTGACCAACAAGAAATTGTTGAACTTGCTGACTAACAGAGATTAGGGAAATAAATATTGAAACTATTGCTCTGAATATTACTTATGTGAGAATGGAATCAATATTTATAGGCATATAGTGATCAAGAGAAGGCCTAGTTTGTGCAATATTTGATAAGTTCATCATTGCAGTTTGTATTCAGTGAAATAGTCTCTCACAATAGAAAAACATCTAATAAAATGCTTGAACCTCTAGAACTCCAGAGAAAGGCTGTTGATATACCATTATGAAACATTCTTACAGAGATGGTAGTTTAAGGCAAAGGACTAAGCGGAGAAAGAACAGAAGTCAAGGACTGGATGTTGCAGGATGGCCATACTGAGTAATAGAGAGGTTGAAAATAAATCATGTAAGAAGACAGAAAAGGAATAATCACCATCACTGGAGATGTGATCTATTTTGGTTTAGAGGATTCCTATGAATTAGATTATGTCAAGAAGAAAAGCTATTAGTTAATTGTCTTAAAAGTTATAGAGATATCAAAGGGAAAGTTACTAAAATGTGTCCACTGTATTTCATAGTCAGGAGGCAAATTTTAATCACTGAGTAAATGAATTTAGTAAACGTTTTAGAGAGGATGTGAAATTTCAGTATGTAAAAAAATAATAAGTAGCTTGATTTACATTAGTGAATTGTTTAATATGTCTCTTCTAGCCATAGTCTTTATAACTACCAGCAAACTATTCTTTTCCTGATGGGTCTGAGTAAGAGAAGGTGGGAGACGATACTGCTAGGATAACACGACTAAGCTGTAAATGTTAACAGAATCAGTAACTGTGAAAATTTGAAGCTCTAGCATGGGTATAAAAGGAGTCATCTCAGAAAGAGGAAGTGGGCTCTCCCTACTATCCAAGAAGAAGAGCCAGGAGTGGAGTGTGTCCTTTGGCCCCTGAGATCTCTGCACATTGAACCTCCTCGACTCAGGGATAGAATGCTGTTGCTCCAGAGGAGTGGCAGACAAGTAGCAGCAACAACAGAACCAAGTAGTGTGTATGAAACAGAGCAGTGGGCTTCCCAGTCCATGGAGCAAGTAAAGCTGAATGACTTTGGACAGGAGACTTGCTTGAAAAATGGGGTGTGCCTCCAGGCACTTAACTGGGGGAGCAAAGTTTGCTGATCCATGGAATTAGAGCTGATAATCTTTAGGTTGAGGCTTATGGTGGAGTGGTGTTTCCTGTGGACATTTATCAGCAGCCCTAAAAGAGCTTTGAAACATTGGCTGGGCAGAGAAAGGCCTGCCTCTGAGCATGAATAAAAGGCTGTCCTGACTAACAGAACTGTGCCCTGCGCATTTTCTGATCCTGACTTGCAACCTTTTAATGTCCCTAATAAACGCCATGACTATTAGTATGATGTCTGAGTTCCTATGTGGCCACAGCAATAAATTATAGAACCCAGCCGAATAGATAGGGCTGTGTGAGGAATGGCTGGTGCCATATTTATGCACTAGAGAACGGTAGATGTAGTATATAAATTTTTGCCTGAGTTTAAAAAAAGTAAATTTGGAAAGATTGTATGTATCAGACCAATAATTATACCTAATTTATAGTTCGACCACTTGACGATCAGTTTGTTGTACTGTGGTGGCTTGCATGTTGCTGTTATTATGAAAGCTATGCCAATGGTATTTTAAATACCAGCGGGATCACCCATAGTGGATAGGTTTCAGGTGAAGGCAGAGTAGGAAGATGGAAAGATAGATTACTTCTGAATATTTAGTCATTGAAAACCTTATGAATAGCAATGGAACTCTGTCAGATGCCACCGGATTATTGAATATGGAAGCATGAAGAAGTGCACCGGAATATTTTCAGATATAGTGCCAGCAGATAAGCCACCTCAGTTTGCAAGACACTCAAAATACTAGGGGAGAGGAGAAAAACAAGATGGCGGATC